TCTTACTACCCTGATACTTAGGATCCTTCATTGGAAATGCCAATAAGAACTGACTAATCCTCGATTTATGACCACCATTGAGCCTGGGATTTTGGTTACAAGTAGTTGCGGTCATAAGTCAAGTCACCATGTTGACTGGATGTCATTTTAAAAATGTCATAAACTGTGATCACATGACCACAGGAGGCCGCAACTGGTTGTAAAAGCGAGCCAGCTGCCAAGCACCCAAACTGCACTCGTGGTGTGGCAGTCATAACTTTGAAGACAACTGGTAGCTTTTTTGAGTCCATCATAACTTTGAACTGTTGTTAAACAACCGGTCCTAAGTCGACCGGTTGTACTTTGCTGAATTCGAACCTCTACGCACTCGGCTGTGACCTCCTGAGAATGAGTGCATCATTTGGAAGGTGTGTTGATGTGACTGACTCATATTCAAAGACAGAGTCTCCTCCAAAACCTTTTTGAAGACACCCCCCCAACCCTCCAAAAAGTTTCCATTTGCTGCAGAGAAGATGTAAAGAGGGAGACGATGTGATCCAAATCTCATTTCCCCACTTTTCGTGGGATTTTGCAGTAGATCTAGAAATAGTGCAGGATGAAGAACACCCACCTTATTCTTCCACAGTAACTAGGATACAACCAAATGGGAATCCCCACAACAGTCCCCCCCCAAAAGAAAGTCTCAAGGTCATAGATAGAAAAGATAATGCAATGGAACCGAAATCTCGGATGAAAGTTTCTGGATATAAACAGAACAGGACCACGCTGATTTTCTTTCTTTGTTTACCCCCTTAGCTTTTCTTCTCAATTTTAGATCAAATGTTTGCAAGACAAGAGCTGGCATTAGGTTAGGGTATCAACGGCATACATAGGCACTGCAACGTTTACAGATGTCACAGGATTGGGATTTGGAGTTTTCCAACCACTGCTACAATACCTCCTTTGACCAGTTTCAATACAAGAGAAGAGGCTCCCCAGAATGAACCAATTCTGCCCCTAGCTACGTACACAAGGCAGAAAAGATATTTTGTATGCTTTTTACTACTTCATTTGTTACCTTTTCTCACATTCGGCAGTAGCCGAGGGGACAGTGGGAAAAATTATTAATTGTGGAGAATATTCACACTCCAGAAGATACTCAGTGCATGGATGGGAAAGTTTAATGCTTGGTTTTAGGAAATGGGAATGTTTCTAATTAGTAAAAAAGCAGCATTGCCTTTATCTGCAGCCTGAATCACCACCAACCCTGCTCTGTGAGGAGGAACACGGAGTGCTGCCCAAGAAGGAGGAGGATGTGGTAAATAGCTGGAAAAGACCCCATCAGCAGAATGAAAATGGGACCCCAAAGTTCTCAATCCTTGGCATTAGCTTACTTCCTTTGAAGCACCCCCTTTACTCCGCTAGGGACAAGTGGCTTTAACAGGTCTTCCAGTCATTTTTCCAAATTCTCTGGTAATTGCTACTTCCGGGAGGGTGAAGGTGAGTTCACTGCCTTCTCCCCATGGGTTGTCCTGTGCGTGACTGCAACAGTGGGCGAAGACTCCCTCTGTTCCCAATTTCCCCAGTGCTGGGAGGAGACACTCTTGTACTCAACGGCCATTGTCCCATCATCTTGCTCAGTGTAGACCCGGGCCTCCAGATGGACAGGATATGATCCTTGGCATTCCCACGTGGCTGTGATTCCTGCTGGCTCATCCCCTTGCACTGCAATGTCGGGCACGAGGGGCACCTGGGGATCAGGGACAGGTGAGCAGTACGACCCGTCCTCTACCCAGGAAGCTGCATGAGATCCACGCTGCCAGTCTCCAGCTTTACTCTCTGCTGGGACCTCACCACCGGATGTCAGTTCTGGCTCATCAAAGCTCACCTCCTGGACTGCTTCTTGCTTCTTGAAAGAGTCCCGGCGTTCAGATAAGTTCAGCCGCCGCATCACCACGACTTCGTGGTCTCGATCTTGACGTTCCTCAGGCCAGTCCCGAAGCCGAGAAATACCAGCGTCTCCCAGGGTGACCATGCAATTCTCTCTGGCACCTCCATTTCCCAAGTTGGGCGTCTCCAGGGTGAGTTTCCGGCTGCCAACCACTTTTTCAGCCAGGGAAGTAGGGATTTTCTCTGTGGACTGGACTCGTTTGAGAAGTGGGGAACGGGAGCTGTCTGCACTGCGAGGCCGGGACACTTGACGGACCATTGTGGGCGGAGACAAGGTCTTGCCTTGGAATGCCTGGACGTTCTTTGTAAACAATGGAAGTGGGGAAGGGGATCTTTGTGGGGAGGGAGGTTGGGGGACGGAGGAAGGAGTGCAGGCCAATGGGGAAGGTGGGATGCTGCTGGTTGATTTGCGGCGCCCAACCTTGTAGCGATGACTGCTGACTTTTGGGGCCAAGCCGTGTAGGGAACTTGGTCGGATCTGTCCTGCTGGAGAAGTCGGGGTGCTGGAGGCTGGAGAGGGACTCTGGGGCGAGACAGAATCTGACAAAAATAGAAAGCAATTAGGAGGAACATACTGTATATATATATGGTAGCAGCAGATACTTCTACCACTGTTGACTTCCTTTATATTAAAAGTACAAACACATAAAAATGCACATTTCAAACTGTTAGCCTAGAATTAGTTTGTTCTAAGAAGCCTTTAAAAGCTTGATGCGTTAATACATGGCTGGAGACACCATTTCCAAATAAATGTGGTATTAACCCTCATGCTTAAAGTTTCAATAAATTAAAAACATTTCGATTAAAAAGATCCACAAAATAATTGTCATCCTATACGGCTTAGGGTCTAGATATATTCACTACTCTGAAATGAATGCATGTGGTGGTGGGTTCTGGCCGGTACGGGCATACTGATGTCTGCTGGGAGCAGCAGACACCGTACAGGAATAGTGCTTTGGAGGCCCTGCCCACATTTCTTACCTGTATTTGACCCAACCAGCCATTTGCGCATGCTCACGCAGCGTACGGCACCTGTGTGACGCTCCGCCGAGCAGCTGGAGTGTCGCAGGGCAGTGGGTGCGTATGCGTGCGCAGCACACGTGCATTGGTGGACGCCCGGCCCCGTCGCAGCGTACTGGTTGCGAAGGGATCCGGAACCCACCACTGCAATGTACCTGTTCAGTTGGATTATGGAGAGAAGTCTTGTTGAGTGTCCCATTACTGAGAGGATTTTATCTACAAAACTTCTCAGTGGTGGCACCCCTTATCCTTTTCTTGTTCTGTTCCTATCTGTTTTTTGAATTTGTGTTGTTTTTAATACAGTGTCTTTTCTTAAAGTCACTTTGTAGTAGAGTGACACAGAATCTTTTTATTATTATTATGCATATTCTATTATTTCACAACAGGGTGGGAAAGGACTGTGTTTTTATGAACTCTTTTAATAAATAAAGGAGCCTGTATGATTTCTCTTTTCAAACAGCTGGGCTTTGCTTGCTAAAACTTCTCCACTTTGATAA